AAAGTGAGTCAACTGAGGACAGTGGTGGGGATGTCGTTTTGTGGACCGTGTTCGTCATCCTCAAACTGCCAATACATGCACTTCTCCTATTTAAATTGAGCTGAAGAACAATTTGTGGCTATACATTCATTTATTCTCCATTGATCTTTTGTGCTGATGGTTATTTTCTGTTCATTTTAATGTTATTCATATTGCAAAACAGTATGCAAGTAATAGGTATGATGAATATTACTGACACCTGGTCATGGTGTATTTTAAGATCCACAAAATGCGCCACTCCTGTAGGTAAAAATCCCATATTTTTATCATAAAAGGTATATTATTCTGCAGTTACAATCCTCTGACATAAATTTTAAAAGAGGACTTTGTTTAGAAAAGTGGATATACTGATAGTCCGACGATAAGTAACACGGGACACAGCAACACACCCATTGCTGTCATCAGTTTATTCACGTTTTAAAATTTGACAACGTAAAGCTCAGCATAAGATCAGTACATTCAAGGTTACCTAGAATCAGGGACCAGTTCAGTGTTTACGGTGTAGTCCGAGCTATGCACTTTTCAGTATTGTATTATATTGTATTATACGTGACTTGTGCAGGGAACTGTGCCTATATTTCAGTCAAAAAATGAGTTCACCGGTATAATGGGATAAAAAATGAAATGAAAATTCATATCCAACAATGATAAAACTTAAATAGGTGTTCATCTCAGTAGGTTTAAAATCAGTTCGGTGCGGATCTTCACCATTTCAATGAGAATACGGGCCAGGTAGGGAACCGTTGAGTGGCGAGCAGGAGGGCAAGCAGATAAAATTGGATCCAGTTGTAGCGTGGAAACGGCAGGCAGATAAATCGGGATTGAGTGGATGATTGGAGTCATTGAGCATCTTATGAGCGAAATTCTCACGTGAAATGATATGCAAATTACACAATTTTTTGATCAGTGTTTAAAGGATTGTGAATGTTATAGTGTTAATAACACAGCGATGTCTCTACCGACATCGCTGTGTTATTAACACTATAACATTCACAATAAAAACAACACACGGCGCATCGATTTTTCGATACACTCCTAACATCATTTGGTTACGATGTGTTAAAAATGATCACCAATCAGTGTTTAAAGAAATTTCTCTTTTTTCTTTACTAAAACGCGAAGAAGAGTAATGAAATCCTTTCTAAGTAGTCAAGGGAAAATAACGGGCGAACAATAAAGTATGACAGGAAACGAAGGAACACAGTTTCATGCTTCTCTCGAAATTGTCGTAGGTTGAAAAGATAAGCGACGCAGTATACCATCACAAGCTGGCACATGAGAGGACAACCGTTGATTGCTATCTATGGTGACTCCGCGGTATTTGGTGGTATGTGTTCTGGTGATGGGTACGGAATTGATAACTGTGGGCTCAAAGGGATATTCGGATCGAAAAGGACTAAAAATACATTCGAAGCATTCAGAAGTATTCAAACGGAGGCCGGATTGGTTCGAGAATGATTGCAATTGT